CTGAATCATATCTTTTATTGTCTGTTTATGCCGAACAATATGAGTTAAGATGGGTAATAGGCAAAAGTTGTTGTTGATAAATGTCTGAAAAACATGTAACAAGATGCCCTATAAACCACATCACAAAGTATACATACATTATAATTTATAGAACTATCTTGATGTTTTCATATCATATGAAGATTCACAACATTTAGATAATCATCCAAATCTTTTATATTTTCCTACTTCCAGTTGAAATGAATGGTTTCTAATCTCCCTTCAATATAAAACATTTTACTTAACTTGATTGTAGAGTTTGATAAATGCAAACTGACATATCAATCCAAGATCATAACAAATGGATCTATTTTCTGACTCAATGCATTAAAACTACAAAAAGTTTCAATATATGAATTCAAATCTTTTATCTAAAGCACTAAAACAGCCAAACTGACACATTTTTATGGCCAGTTATCCGATAACCGAATATCCCAAATGAATAATAAATTACAACAGCCAATGACTGCAGTTAAACTTCTAATAAATTTATTTCAATGCTATCTTAAAATAAGACAAGCTAATGAGGCAGACAATCATTGAAAGCTGTCGACAGAATGCATAAATGACTACATACAGCATACAGTGTTCTAGGTTCACAATACCAAACAATCCCCACTATAACTAAAAAAAATACAAATCAATGAACTTGAGAAATAATTTGCTAGAAGAGGTTTACTTCGTGTTCTAATCTTACATATGACTCTTATCACAGACGGACAATGACAGGGACAAGGTACTGACATTGACCTATACCTTCACACTTGAAGAGTACATGATACACTTTAGTATCTCCTGAACACCTGTTGTCCTCGGAACTGTCATAAATGTCTTTCTATCATCACTCAGTGTCAGGACGCTCATATGCTTTATGAATATCTTAGCACAGTAGAGGGAGTTTTAAGCATGCAGTTGTCTGTGTCCAGAACTGGATTTTCATCATAGTTATTATCAGTGATTTTCTTCACTATTTCAAGAATCTCACTACTTACTCATTGTAACAAATGTGTTCGTCTTCTGGAACATATGTATGAGTACCATTCAGTAGTAAATGTTTTGGGGGGATTTGGTTGGTTTTGTTGTAAGAGGTGACTAATAGGATCTGGGTGGAAAAGCTTGCTGACTTGGTTGACTCAATTGCGTAGATTGATGCACATGATGTTGACCACTGGATTATCTGGTCCAGACTTGAGTATTTACAGACTGCCACAATATAGCTGGAATATTGCTGAGTGCGGTGTTAAACAACAAACAAACAAATAAAATATGATCACCAATTTTAACTATGTATTTTACAGGAGTAATATTTGCTGTATCTCTTTCAATCTGTTTCAGCATAAGTGATACATAATTCAACTTTAAACATACATTAAATTTGTTAAATTGCATGGTACAAAGAATCTGAAAGAAATTGCACAAGGGTTATAACCAGTTGCTATAACAAGCTAACATCAACAAGTTCAACTCAAAACTGTTGAAATCTCATACAGTGTGAAAGTGAATCCACTACTAATATAATCGTACACATAAAATCAATGTTCTGCATGTAAGTACAGACAAAAGAAAATCCTGAACAGCAAGCTGCTATGTATCTTACAGCCATTCCAAACAAGACTGACATCAATACTGACTGGATTATTTTCTTTTCACTTGTATTGAACATGCTGGACAAAATCCCAGAGCACTAACATACCAGTTAACTCTTGAACTGTTTGAACCCAACGCTGAGAGGGAAAAGGTCAGTCATAAAAAAGGCAACCAAATATGTTTACACTGTTTTCCAATCCTATTTCCTGGGGAAAAAGTCAGGCTACAGTAGTACCCAAGTTAAATGAGTGGTATTTGATATGAACAAGATCCACGGTTATGTAGGTATAGGAACCATCTGCCACCAAGATTGGAACACCATGGGGCAAAACTGTGATCTTTTGATCTTAAAATTTAATTCATTCCTCAGCTTACTTACAGCCCATGCCCAGACTTTGAAATTGGGAAAATATCCAGAGGTAGGCTTTATTATGACTACTTCCACCCAACATTTTCCTGTTGGGATAAATTCCTTCTGTGTGCCAAAATTCTGTTTATTGCTCAGTAAGATTAGCCTTTAATGAAGTTTAATTTGAAGTTCTTTCACTGGAAGTGGTAGAGTACCGAATAGCTAGATTATTTTGAGCTTTGGATAACCTAAGTAACTAACTGGTAGTTCTTCAATTCCCAGCAATGTTAACCTGGTGTTATTTCATTAAAGTGTTAACTGCAGATAGCTTTTTACCAGGGCATACAGGAAGAGAAATTTGTCTGTATATCAAAGTGCTGTTGAATTTTCAAATCAAACATCAATACATCACTCTGTTCTCTGAGGTGCATGGGAAGAGGCACAGAGCAGACTGAAAGACTATATATTCAAATGGCAGCACAAGCTCAAAATATTCTTTTTCAATCTTGACCTTTATGGTCCTCAGTAAATAAAAAGTCAGAGCATGTAGCTTTAGGTTACTACTCTAACAAATATAAGAATGTTTGTGTAAATATATTAGTTCTCTTGCAATTACAATTACATCTTAATCATTCTATCTGACTGATATCTAGTCTCAAAGATGATTCTGAGATGAAGATTAAAGTCTGGGATCATATCACTTGCCTTGCTGAATCTGCAGGAAAACATCTTGTCAAATATACACAACAAATACTGTTACTCCTCTGGGAATGTTCACAGCATATTTGATTTTATATTGTAACTCCATAACTACATGAATTCCTGACATTATAAATTTATCCAGCACAAAAATGTCACATGACCATCTATGCGTAACTAGTGATGATAGCAGCTCCTGTCTTATGCTAGTTCAAATGTCACAATATCAACCATTAATCTCCCCTGCTACGTTATATCTGTTATCAGTTATAACTTGTTTCCAGCAGAGGAATTTCAGCTTCTTCTTTTCATGTCTTGGCCCTGTTCAGTATAATGTTTTAAGTGCTAACTATAGCATAATGTTTACAGCTCTATATGTTGGGAGTGAATCAAGGCCCTGCACCTCACATGAGTAACTGTTGTTGGTGAGCAGCTGCTACTATTCTGGCAGTGTTCAGCTCTTTATGCATACCGCTTTGGTGGTGTGCAGCTCTTCACATTTACTGATTTCGGCAGCGTTCAGCTGTTCACATCCACTCCTTCAGTGGTGTGCAGCTCTTCACATTTACTGATTTTGGCATTTACTGAGGTGTTTCACACCTCCTACTTTTGTTGGTGTTCAGCTGCTCACATCTACTTCAGTTGGTGTTCAGCAGTCAACATCTCCTACTTCTACTGGTGTTCAGCTGTTCACATCTACTTCAGTTGGTGTTCAGCAGTCTACATCTCCTACTTCTACTGGTGATCAGCTGTTCACATCTACTTCCGTTCGTGTTCAGCTGTTTCCCATCCACTCCTTCAGTGGTGTGCAGCTCTTCATATTTACTGAGGTGTTTCACACCTACTTCTGTTGGTGTTCAGCTGTTCACATCTATTTTTATTGGTGTTCAGCTTTTCAGATCTCATACTTCTATTGGTGTTCAGTTGTTCACATCTACTTCAGTTGGTGTTCGGCAGTCTACATCTCCTACTTCTGTTGGTGTTCAGCTGTTCACATCTCCTACTTCTACTGGTGTTCAGCAGCTCACATCTCCTACTTCTGTTCTTGTTCAGCTGTTCATATCTCATACTGTTCATGTTCAGCTTTTCATATCTCCTTCTTCAGCTGGTGTTGAGATCTCATACTTCTGTTGGTGTTCAGCAGTCTATATCTCCTACTTCTGTTCATGTTCAGCTGTTCACATTTCCTACTTCTATTGGTGTTCAGCTGTTCACACCTCTTACTTCAGTTGGTGTTCATCAGTTGACATCTACTTCAGTTGGTGTTCAGCTGTTCACATCTCCCACTTCAGTTGGTGTTCAGCTGTTCACATCTCCAACTGTTCACATCTACTTCTGTTGGCGTTCAGATCTCCTACTTCTATTGGTGTTCACCTGTTCACATCTACTTCAGTTGGTGTTCAGCAGTCTACATCTCCTACTTCTATTGGTGTTCACCTGTTCACATCTACTTCAGTTGGTGTTCAGCACTCTGCATCTCCTACTTCTGTTGGTGTTCACATCTCCAACTTCTACTGGTGTTCATCTATTCACTTCTGCAACTTCTACTGGTGTTCAGCTGTTCACATCTCCTACTTCTGTTCTTGTTCAGCTGTTCATATCTCATACTGTTCGTGTTCAGCTGGTATTGAGATCTCCTACTTCTGTTGGTGTTCAGCTGTTCACATCTCCTACTTCTGTTGGTGTTCAGCTGTTCACATCTCCTACTTCTGTTGGTGTTCAGCTGTTCATATCTACTTCAGTTGATGTTCAGCAGTCTACATCTCCTACTTCTGTTGGTGTTCAGCTGCTCACATCTCCTACTTCTGTTGGTGTTCAGCTGTTCACATCTCCTACTTCTGTTGGTGTTCAACAATTCACATCTACTTCAGTTGATGTTCAGCAGTCTACATCTCCTACTTCTATTGGTGTTCAGCTGTTCACATCTCCTACTTCTATTGGTGTTCAGCTGTTCACATCTCCTACTTCAGTTGATGTTCAACAATTCACATCTCCTACTTCTATTGGTGTTCAACAATTCACATCCCCTACTTCTATTGGTGTTCAACAATTCACATCTACTTCTATTGGTGTTCAGCTGTTCACACCTCTTACTTATGTTGTTCAGCTGTTCACATCTTCTGTTGGTGTTGTCTTACTCATATCTGCTGCTGCTGCTGCTGCTGCTGCTGCTGCTGTTGCCTACTTTTGTGTGTTCTGCTGCTCACATTGTGACTTTTCTTCTACTCATGATGGCACAATATAATGGGCCACAGTGGCATTTAACTCAACAATGGAACAATGATAAGCCAAAGAGCAATACATAGAACAACATGGGACTGAATACCTTCAAAACATCTGGTAGAGCCCTTTGTAAACTTGCTCCCTGCACAGCATTGAACATCTGGTTGAGCATTTCTTTGCGATCTCGAATGTAGTCCCCAATGTCCTTCACCTCTTTGTTAAGGTCAAGATCAGGGTCATTCAACAGTGCATCCTCTTCCTCTGTGACTTTCTTTTTCTTTGCCTACAACATATTTTGATGAAAATCATTAAATGTTTAAAATAAATTGAATTACACCTACAACTACAACTTACAACTGTATCTTGTATCCAAACAGAATCAAGACTGGTGCAGAAACAATGTGGTTAAAAGCATGAGGTGCAATCTATATTCAGCTTGTATGATGACACATTTTAAACCAAATCACACTTGCAGCAACTGATCTTATAAACACATTTCTGTTCAATGCATTAAGTTCTAATACACTGGGTTTATCTGAAATGGGTGTTGATTAACTGGACAAGAATGAATATATGACAGAGTGAGTGAGTTAATAATTATGTGACATTAGCAATTTTCAAGCAACATAGGGATCTGAATTTATGAGAATTGAGAAATGTTATGGCAAGAACTTGCAAGGAAAGTTATATCTATATAAACAGTCACAGTAGAATCACATGGTTAATGCCATGAGAGAATGCTTTGAGATAGTTCTATTTGTTATAATGAGAGTTGATGAGAATTTCAAAAGTATTGGCTACTTACAAAAGCATCTCCTATTTGTCTTTGTTAAATAAACACAAACACTACAAAGCATTCAGTTTAAGTTATGCAGACTTCAAGAACTTCTCAGACAGAGAACTGCATAGCAAACAGTTTTCCATGTCCTTTTGTCACTTAAGGGAAATGAACAAAGGTGTTAATTTCTCTCGTCCTTCCTTATTCTTTGTATGAAGAATGAATGATTTATTCACAATACTATCATTCTTTCATGTTGCATGAATACGTAACTGAGAAAACACAAACTATAAATAGGAAATCACAAAGTGTGTCACATCATAGGATGGCTTCTCGCCATATCGAGACCCTCTAGACCCAAACTGTCCCTAATGTCAAGAATTTAAGTAAAGTTAACAGAATAATTTGATTATACCTTACACATCAGTTTGTGAAGTGAGCTTCCACTTGGGCATTTTCAAAGTGCTATAACATCTAATAGAGATTAACCAAGTGTTGTGCAAAAACAACCATGTCTGACACCCCTTTGAGAATGTGCCTCCCCTAACACTAAGAACCCACTTCAAACGACACAGCCATCCCTAAATCTATTTATGGATTCTTCTAATGCAATTTCTAGAAGAGTTCACTTCCCATCCTGGGGGTGATGGATGAACTGTCACAAGTTTAAGATGATACAGTTTGCCAGATGTTTGACAAAATCAGGAATCTTTTCTCTAGAAGCATGGAGAAATATGTTGGTTTTGCCTGTCATTTTTATTCCATTACATTCTGCACATTTGCTTGGCACATCTGTTTTGAAGATGAAAATGAACACAAGCATGTTGAATGGCAAAGAAACAACAGCAAGTGCACTACTTTCTGGGATGTGCTTGACATTTGCTGGAATTTCACGTCCCCCCTTTTACCAAGAGAAGAGACCTACTTTCACTGGGACATGTATCTGCTTTGCAACTATCTGTTTTTGCTTTCTTAACTGTAGACTGAAGGGGAAGGTAACCAAATTATCTATCTCATTTCAGTTGTTTCTCATTACCTGAAGTTTGTGCACAACATCGCCAGAAATATTTATCCACAGTAACACAGCAATGGAAATGAAAAATAGATGACACATATTTTACTTGAAAACAAATTCCAAGACAATCACAAAGGTCAAGTAAAAATCAGTCAAAACATTTGCAACGACAGAAGCATAGTGTCTTAGAAGCATGGTGCAGCCAAAAAAGTAGAAACCTTTGTACACTGAGGCTACATAGATTACTTTATACATGTAGGATACTTCATATCTAATTTCACAAAACAGAAATTAACACCATTGAAAATTGAAATCAACATCATAAAGGCATAAAATATTTTAAAAAGTCAAAATGTAATATGCCATACAAACAAAAGTTTCACAAAAGACATTAATTAATGAACATTAATAAAACAATGATGTGTTTGGTGTGGGTACCAGCAATATGGCAGAATCTGCTCACCTTTTCGTGACCACACTTTGTGTAGCATCACAATTTAAATGTGGTTCATAAACACATGCTTATGATATTGTTGGATTCGGAAAATCGTTGCACATAACAAAACATGTTTCTCTTCAATCAAATGAGATAAGAATTATATAAACAAAACTATTGAGGATACCACTGCTAGGGCCAAAAGCTTAACATGTCAGCCTCATTAGATCAGCGGTGACAAATGAGGTGAGAAAAAATATAGTGTGTGAGTGAGTGAGTGAGCGAGCGAGTGTAGTTTTACGCTGCACTCAGCAATATTCCAACTATATGGCAGCAGTATGTAAATAATCGAGTCTGGACCAGATAATCCAGTGATCAACAGCATGAGCATCGATCTGCACAATTGGGAATCGATGACATGTGTCAACCAAGGCAGCGAGCCTGACCACCCGAACCCGTTAGTCGCCTCTTACGACAAGCATGGGTTACTGAAGGCTCATTCTAACCTGGACCTTCACGGGTAAATATATATTGAAGTACATGATGGTCAAGATCATAGTGGAGCAAAATAATCAAAATATGAACACAAAACAAACATCATTATCAGATATAAGTGTATGTTACATTTAGCAATGCCAATAAACAGTGGCTGTGTAAAGGGGATAATCACACTGGAAATGTGGAGTACAACTTGGAGACAGCTTAGAGGTCTGGAGGTTTCAGACAAGATACACACCATTACATAATGGTGCCTTCATCAACATGAACATCAGGTTGCAGCAGCAAACATTATAAGAACCCTGAACCTTACACTTGATACATACTTGGGATATTTGATCAGAAATAGTATTGCTAATGTCAAAATCCCCATGAACATAAAAGAAACACGTTCACACACCATGAAAGGACAATATCCCATCATTCCAGAACAAGCATGGTTACCTAACACCGACACTGTAATCTGTATCGCAGCTGAATCTACAACACATCTGGGGCTTCAAGACAATGCATAGTCTTGCACATACATAGACTTGATCTTTGCAAGATAACAAACTAAATCAGAGTCTAAGTCGTAATTACTCATTATTTATGATTGACTGCAGGGAATTATAATATAATTACTTAATTGCTGTAATTGGAGTTGTTATCACATCTTGATATGATTTGACATACTTTTGCCATGACATGAAACAGATGTGTGGCAACGACACCGGAGGACATCTACATACAATGTGCATCTAAGAAAATTCACAACACCACATCAACTTTGGTACTGTGCCATCTCTTAACAATAAGCAATAAATATAACTATGCACAAAAATGACTTGGGTGGATAACATAAATGTTTTTGCAGTGTGGTAGCAGCAACATAGTTTTCTTCAGTGACGTTCCCTTGCAATGGCAAATGTCACATATACTCAGCCATGCTTAAAGACAAACACTGATGCTACTTGGGATATGAAGGCTATTAAAGAAGTAATTTTCCTCATGTGTCACAATGAGATTAACAAAATATTTGGTCCATGTACAGTGAAACATTAGTCTCAATTTGGTTGCCCCAGAGTATCACATATGAAAGCACATTACCTGGTATATGATATTTCAATGTGGTATTAGTCTGGTAAACCCATTACTACTAGCATCGGATAAGAAATGAACAGTCTGGATTAACTATGCCTCACTGTATATTCTGATTCTGTGCATTCTCACAGAAGGTACACATACAATTGTAACATACATCAAATGTATTATTCTTGAAGTATTATTCAATATTTGCAATGCAAACTTTCCAAAGCTGACAATTATGTCCACAGTAGACTGAGGTTACTACAGTTATTGCTACTGAGTGTAATATGTAACCGCCATCACAAACCATTTCCCAAGCAAACCAATTTCAATGAACACCAGTGGTCTGAAACGTTCTGAAACGTTCAGAAACCACAAAAGCACTTTCAGGGTAATTTTCACTCATGATAGTTATTCCTTCATCAACCACACAAGAAATATGCCTCGCCCTTTACTCATACACAAATCCATCACTGCTGAAAAAAAATAATTCCTCAAGAATGAATGGCTGAATAATATCAATGTCACCTGATGTCAGTAAACTGTGTCCAAATTATCACTGAGCTTTTTTTCCCAGACAAGATATGTTCTTAAAATGTCCATTAAAGTCAAATGGACTGAAGCTTCACTTATAACCTTTGGACTTGTTCAAAATTATACAGGATTGATTTTGTAAAAGAAGAAAGCCAACAAAATACAGCTAATGGATTGACAAATGGATGGATGATGGATGGATAAAAAAAACATTTTCCATATATAGACAACAAGTCATGTGCAGTATCTTAATATCTAATTACATAAAAATGCACTTTAAAATTAAGCGAACTTCATGATACTAAGAACTAAAGCTGAAATTCTCAGACAATGAGTCATGTTAAGCCAAGGTCAAAAATTAAATTAAACCAACAAAGGCAAAATGAAGTGTCTGCCATACCTGACAAAATAGCAAGCAAAATGACAGCTTGAAATATCAACAGTATCCTTTTACAAAATACATTGCATTGTTTTCCAAATTCATCATTTTCAATGCAATTGTAAAACGAAGTTTCATGTAAATGGTAAATATAATACCGCTAATGGTTAAGTCTGGCTTTGATTGAAACAAATGGATTACTCTGACACGCAGATTCGGTTGCTACATCTATCAACGTGAAGGATGTTTGGTGCTGGGACTGCGATGGGTCATAATACATTACATTGGCGATAAGTAATTTCAAACATCAATACAGTCCACTTCAAATGATTGATTCATAATTCACACCATCGGTTCAATTGCATCAGGGTGAAGGACGTACGGCACTCACCTGCTCAACACCCTGGCAAATGATTATAAGCTGGTGGTTTTGGCTCTCTGAATGTCAATAATTGCCATTTTTGTATACTGCTTGTTTTAAGAACAACTATCATTGTGCTATTATTTGTTATCAAATGATTTCATTATTTTCTCCAAAGGAAATAGTTCATAGAAATTGTATTATTTGAGAAATA